ATGAGAGTGTGGGACCCCCTGGAAAAGGAGTTATAGACATTTGTGAGCTGCCATGTAGGTGCTTGGAATTGAACCTGTGAAAGAACAGCCAGTGCTTTTAACCACTGAGCCATCTCTCCAGCCCCGGGTTACTGTTTCTGTAATGAAATACCATGACTAAAGCAACTTGAGAGGAAAAGGTTTATTTGGCTTAAGTTTGCACATTGCAGTTCATCATCAAAGGAAGTCAGGGCAGGAACTCAAGCAGGGCAAGAACCTGGAGGCAGAGCTGGTGCAGTAGCCATGGAGGAGTGCCCCATGCTTTTTTATAGAGCCTTGCTCAGCCTGCTTTCTTATAGAAGACAGGACTACCAGCCTAGCAGTGTCCCCACAATGGGCTGGGCTCTCTCCCATGAATCACTAATTAAGAAAATGCCCTACAGCCTGATCTTAGGGAGACATTTTCTCAATTGAGGCTCCTTCCTCTTGGATGACTCTAGCTTGTGTCAACTTGACACAAAACTAGCCAGCACAGTAGGTGGTAGATAGTGACTGGATACTCCTACTCAGATAAGGGTCTTGTGTTAACAGCCAACGACCCCACCCCAGCTGGGATAACCGTTTTGCAAGAGGCGAACACTGAACACCCCAAGATGGCAATTGTTGGGTTGCATAAGTACATATGTATGCAAATGTCATAATGAAACCCATTACTTTGTATGGCCAAAAAACCACCAAACAAACCAAACCAAGACAACATGAGCACCACACTGCACACAGGCACTCACCCAACCCTGTTGCATAGCAAGAGGGAGAAACCAGAGAGTTTTGGGGTATTGTCGCAAAAACTCAGCTTTCACCTTAAAGGGAAATAAGAGTTTGTTCTGGAGCCATATTTGAGTGGCCATGGCCCAGGAATATAGATTTAGGCTATCCTAATCTTAGGAACATGGAAGCAGTGTCATGAAGTTTGTAGTTTAACATAACAAGTAAAAAAATCAAGGCAAGTATAGCAAGGAAATGGCTGTTCTGGGAACTGAAGGCCACCACTGCCCGGCCTTTCTAGGAATTCTTGTTGACTGAGGGAATGCCATCTCCGCCACAGCTGGACCTTGCTTTGTATACTTCTTTGAGTCCTGTATATTACTTTAACCCTGGCTTTTTCTTAAGAATAAACTTCCCAGCTGGGTGGTGGTGCACGCCTTTAATCCCAGCACTCTGAGACAGAGGCAGGGGCATCTCTGTGAGTTTGAGGCCAACCTGGGCTACAGAGTGAGTTCCAGGAAAGGCTCCAAATCTACACAGAGAAAACCTGCATCAAAAATAAATAAATAAATAAATAAATAAATAAATAAATAAATAAATAAATAAACTTGCCAGATTTTTTTTTTTTTTCATTTATTAAAGTGCTGGGAATGGAACCCAGGGACTTGCATGCAGTGGGGAAATGCTTTACTACTGAGCTGCATCCTCAGCTCAGATTTTTCTCATTAGGTTTTTTTTTTTTTTAACTGAGGACTGAACCCAGGGCCTTGCGCTGAGCTAAATCCCCAACCCCTTATTAGTTTTTTTGTATGAGAGACTAAAGACCTTTGGGTCTTGGATTTATCTGCTGTGGTGTCAATAATTAATAAGATAGTTAGAAGTAGTGGTACATGCCTGTAATCTCAGCACTTAGAAGCTGAGGCAGGAGGATCTTGAGTATTAGGCCAGTTTGAAGCACATAATGGACTCAAGGCTTAAAAAAAAAATTCCTCAGCCGGGCGGTGGTGGCGCACGCCTTTAATCCCAGCACTCGGGAGGCAGAGCCAGGTGGATCTCTGTGAGTTCCAGGCCAGCCTGGGCTACCAAGTGAGTTCCAGGACAGGCGCAAAGCTACACAGAGAAACCCTGTCTCGAAAAACCAAAAAATAAAATAAAATAAAATAAAATAAAATAAAATAAAATAAAATAAATTCCTCTTTCCCATATGTATGGTGTGTGTGTGTGTGTGTGTGTGTGTGTGTGTGTGTGTGTGTTTGCATGTGTGTGTAGGTGCATTTGGAGACCAAGGTTGACATCAGGAATCATCCTCGATTATACTCTTCTTTTGTTGAGCCAGGGTCGGCTAATCAAACCCAGAGCATGGCAATATAGCTAGTTTAACCAGCTTGCTCTGGGGAATCTGCCTTCTGAGGGTGGAATTACAAGCAGACTGCCATAACCACCCTGGGTTCTGGGGATCTGAATTAAGGTCCTCAAGCACTTTAATCTCTAAGCCATCTCCTTAGCCTGTTTTTTTTTTTTAAGATTTATTTTATGTGTATGGGTGTTTTGCCTGTATCTATGTATTTGCTCTACATGCATGTCTGGCACCCACAGAGCTCAGAATCGAGTGTTGAATCCCTTGGGACTGAAGTTACAAATAGTTGTGAGATGCCGCGAAGGTGCTGGGAATTGAATCTGGGTCCTCTGAAAGAGCAACAAGGACTCTTGAACAGATGATGAGTCATATCTCCGGCTCCTATTTTTTTATTGTTTTAAGACAGGGTCTCATTCTGTATCCCAGGCTGTCTTAGAGCTCATTATAATTCTATTAAGTGTGAGCCCCAAATTATATATATATTTGGTTTTTTGAGATGGGGGTTCTCTATGTTACCCCAGCTGTCCTGGAACTCACCCTGTAGACCAGGATGGCCTTGAATTCACAGAGATCCGTCTGACTTTGCCTCCCAAGTGCTGTGATTCAAGACGTGCCACCTGCCTGGCATCCTTTATATTGGTATCTTTTTGTTTTACTAAAATATTTTTATTACATTTACTTTATGCTGGTGTGTATGTGTGTGGGTATATGTGTTCCATAGTGTGCATGTGGAGATCAGAGAATACCTTGATAGGAGTCTCTTCTCTCATGTATCAAAATCAGGCATTGCAGACTCTTTATGTCACTTTAAAAAATATTTTTTGGGTCACTGATATAGCTCATCTGATAAAAATCACTTGCCATGTAAGCCTGACAACCTATGTTGATTTCCTGGATTCCGTGGTGGAAGGAGGGAAGAACAGTTTCTGAAAATTGTTCTGGGATCTCCGTATGTAACATATTAGCACATATTCTTTATACATAATAATTGGTTTCAAGATAGCATTTTCATACATACATAATATATTTACATTTATTTTCTTTCTTTCTTTCTTCTTTCTTTCTTTCTTCTTTCTTTCTTTCTTTTTCTTTCTCTTTTTCTTTTTCTTCCTTCCTTCCTTCCTTCCTTCCTTCCTTCCTCCCTCCCTCCCTCCCTCCCTTCCTTCCTTCCTCCTTCCTTCCTTCCTTCTTCCTTCTTCCTCCTTCCTTCTTCTTTTTCTCTTTCTTTCTTTCCTTTCCTTTTCCTTTTCCTTTTCCTTTTCCTTTTCCTTTTCCTTTTCCTTTCCTTTCCTTTCCTTTCCTCCCTCCCTCCCTTCCTCCCTCCCTTCCCCCTTCTTCCCTCCCTCCCTCCCTCCCTCCTTCCCTCCCTCCCTCCTTCCTTCCTCCCTCCCTCATTGTGTTGCCCTGGCTGACCTGGAACTCAAGTATGTAGCCCTTAAACTCACAGAGAGCTCTCTATGTTTGCCTCCTGACTGTTGGGATTGAAGGTGTATGCTACCATTTATTTAACCATTTATTTAATTAAAAAAATTATTTTTTCCAGGACTGTTACCCAGAAAAACCCTGTTTTGAAAAACAAATTAAAATTTGTTTGTTATTATTGTGTGTAATAGAGCATCACTGAGTGTGAGTACATATGGAGGATGGAGGACAACTTTTGGGGATGACTTCTTGTCTTCTGTTGGGCCAGGTCTGTCTTGTTTCTGCTGCTATACTGCATACTCTAGGCTAGCTGGCCCTCGACCTCCCCAGTAGTTCTGTCTCTGCCTTCTATCTCTGTAGAAGTGCTGTGGGAGTGCTGGAATTAATTCCATCGCATCTGGCTTTTTTATGTGAGTCTTGGAGATTGAACTCTGGTTTTCAGGCTTTCAGGGCAAGTGCTTTTACCTGCTGAGCCATCTCACTGGCCGCATTTCTAATGTACTTTTATTATGTTTACCTCATTACCCTCTCCTGCTCGCCCCCACTCCCATTGATTCCTTTCTTTCCACCTAGTTCCTCTTCTACTCTCCGGCCTTTGTTATTTTTTTGACCTGTTGAGCTTCATTAGGGTTGCTTATATAGTCCTGGGGGAAGCACATTTGTAGGATTCTTTGCCACTGAAGAAAATGTGTCTCTGTCCCCCAGTGACCATTAATTGGCTATAGGTAACTCAGGGAGAGATGGGTCCTCATGAGCCCCTCTCCCTAGCTACTATCACCTACATATTGATCTTCAGTGGGAGTATTCCTTCATGGGCTTCTTCTCCCATGACAGGTGTTGACAGATCCAGTCTGGTAATCACAGTTGCTATGATAGAGTGCAGGGGTGATGCCATGTTCTGAAAAGTCAGTTCCATCTCACTCTGCTCTGTCTTCTGACTCTTCACATTCTTTCTCCCTTGTCTTCTATGAAGATTTTTCCATCTTGGCAGGGGAGGTGACACAGAGTCTCTTATGGCTGAGTGTTCAACAACCCTTTATTTTCAGCACTCTGATCAGTTATGAGTCTGCAGTTTCTGCTGTTACTGGGACCTTTTAATTAAAAAATATTATATTCATCTGTGTCTCTCTGTGTATTTAGCATATGGGCACACACATTCCACATGTGGGGATCAGAGGACACTTTAGGTGTTGGTTCTCTTCTTTAAACATGTAGGTCTTGAGGATTGAACTCAGGTTGTATAGCTTGGCGGCAGGCACCTTTACCTGCTGAGCCATCTTTCGGGCCCCTGGGATCTTTTAATTAATAGATATTATTAGTGTTAATGGAGTTCTGTTAGTACCTCCACATACTCCCTCTTTTATGGTTATCATATATGTGCCTTATTAAAGCTTTTGTTCTCTTCAAACAAAAGCTGTGTATATGGTATGTGTGTGTGTATAAAACTTAATTTTTTTTGGTCTGTAAATGAGCATAGGTGATGCCATGGAGAATGGAAAACCTGGTCCAGTGCAGGTTGTTTTGGTTCACAAAGAACAACACTCCTTTGAGCTAGAAGAGAGCGCCTTGGCCAGCATCCTCCTGCAGGACCACATCCGAGATCTTGATGTGGTGGTAGTATCAGTGGCTGGTGCCTTTCGAAAGGGCAAATCCTTCATTCTGGACTTTATGCTGCGATATTTATATTCTCAGGTAAGGAAGAAGTAGTTTATTTTAAAGAATAAAGTGAGCAAAATAGCTCATAAATTAAAATTACTTAAGATTTGGTGAGGGGTCTGGGTATGTAGTATAATGGTAAAGTGCTTGCCTAGCATGTGTGAGGCCCTGTATTTTATCCCCAGTGCTTCAGAAAACAAAACCAAAGATGTAATGGAATATCTTATTTCTACTGTAGAAAGAAGATGGTCATCCAAATTGGTTGGGTGACCCAGAAGAACCACTGACAGGATTTTCATGGCGAGGAGGCTCTGACCCTGAAACCACTGGGATTCAGATTTGGAGTGAAGTTTTCACTATGGAGAAGCCAGGTGGGAAAAAGGTAAGGATAATAAAGATAGAAGAAAAAGAAAAGGAAAGAAGGAACAAAGGAAGGAAGAGAGAAGGAAAAAGAAAAAGACTTAGATGTTATAACAGAATAATCAAATGAGAATGTATGTTTATTTTTTTCTTGAGATAGGATTTTTCTTGATAAGTTTGGCAGGTGGGTCTGGAACTCATGAGGTATCCCAGGCTGGCCTTAAATCCTGAGAACCCTGCTTCAGCTGCCTGTGTGCTGGGATCGTAGGTGCATATTACCATGCTTGGCTCTAGATAAGAACTTTAACATAGTCTGTGTTATTCCAGTCAAAAAATAACTTTGATCTTTATATGTCCATGATAACTCCTATGTCCCTAATGTAATTACTTTTCTGTTGAGTTTTTTGACAGTAGATCCAACAATGTACTTAGCTATCTACTTTACTAAGTAGAAAGCCTGATTCAGGGAGATGTCAGTATATATTTTATAATTTAAAAAAAAAAAAAAACATTTGCTTTGTAAAACTGATTGCTCACCCAGACCTCCCTTCCATCTTTGAATTTCTTTGAAAAAGCCACTCTAGGGCTAGAGAGATGGCTCAGAGGTTAAGAGTACTGCTTGCTCTTCCAGAGGTCCTGAGTTCAATTCCCAGTAACCACATGGTGGCTCACAACCATCCGTAATGAGATCTGGTGCTCTCTTCTGACCTGCAGGGGTACATGCAGACAGAATACTGTATACATAATAAATAAATAAATCTTAAAAAAAAGAAAAAGAAAGAAAAAGCCACTCTACTGTTTAAAAAAAAAATGTTGTAAAGCAAAAGAAAGCAATTCTTAGAGCTAAATGTGCTGTTTGTACCTATAGTCTTAGCACTGGGGGCTGAAGTAGGAGGGCCACCACTTAGAGGCCAGCCTGGGTTTCTTAAAATGTGCATAAAGAGCCTAGCATGGTGACTTATGCCTGTAATCCCTACACTCGAGAGGCTGAGGCAGGAAGATTAGCACAAATTTGAGGACAGCATGGGTTATAAAGTGTGGGACACTGTTTCAAAACAACAAAAAAGTGGTTTGGAAGTTTACTCTGCTAGTATGTGCTGTGAAACCATTTCTCTCAATGTTGAGTACACATGTAGCTTCTGTTCTTCAGAGAGCTTCCAGTATATCCCCTTGTTTCCTCTTTAGTCTCATTTTTCTAATTAGCAGACATGTGTGATAGCAAACTTTTGTTCAATTGGGATATCATGGTGATTTAGAATTCATCTTGATTCAGTGATTTTGAGTGTATACATAAAGCTGAACAGGTATCAGCACCATCTGACTCCAGAACATTTCGTTACCTCAAAAGAAGCCTGCAATAATGTTAGCAGTCACTCTCCATTTCCATCTTCTTCCAGCCCCTTGTCTCTGCTAATTTACTATTGACTGAGCTGTTAGGAAGTACGCCTCGATGGAGAGCTAGGTGTGCTTGCATTCCACCTTCCCTTATCTCCCTCTTTCTGTCTTCTCCCTTTCTCTGCCTTCCTGTCTTTTCTGGTATCTCGGATTGAACCTAGTACTATGTGTATGCCAGGCAAATGTTCTAGCTCTGTTACATCTTGAGCATCTCCTCCATGGACTGTCTATTCTGAGCATATTCTACAAGTGAAATGATGTGTATTTTGGTCTGCCCTCATCCATTCAGCCTGATTCTCTCACAGCATTCAATAGTTCTTTACTCCCTTTCATGGCTGAGCAATATTCCATTGTATGGAAATATATTTTTGTATTCATCAGTTGTGAATATTTGAGCTGCTTATACCTTTTGTATATTATAAATAATGCTGCCTGTACATGCCTGTAATCTTAGTTCTTGGGAGGCTGAGGCATGAGTTTCAGGGTAGCTTGGCCTACAGTGTGAGATCCTGTCTAAATTAACCTCTCCCTTCAAAATAAACAAAAATCTCAGAGATGGAGAGTTGGTTCAGTGGCTCATGAGCATCCTGTAAAAGCTGCTCCTTTAGAGGACCTGGGTTCGATCCCCAATCCCCACATGATGTCTCACAACTGTCTGTAATTCAAGTCCCAGGGGATCCATTACCTCTTGTAACCTAAGTGGGTACCACATATGTGTTGCACAGACATACATGCAAACAAAGTAGTCATATACACAAAATAATAAAATAAACACATCTAAAAAATCTTACGAAAATACTACCTGCCTTAAACATCTATGTACAAGTTCTCTAAGATTGAAGCTCTCTTGTATATATTCATATGTTTGCTTTTTGTGTCTGTGACAAATACCTGAGATATACAACTTAAGGGAGGAAAGATTTATTTTGGTCACAGCATCAGAAATTTCAGTTCTCAGCTGTTCATTGCTGTGGGCCTGAGGCTAAGCTGAACATGACAGGAAGCATGTGATGAGGCAAGGTTGAATATCATGGTGGAAAGCACATGGTGGGGCAGAGCAGCTCACTTTGCAGTAGACAAGAAGCTGGAGACAGACAGGAGGAGCCAGGGCAAAAATATGCCTCAGAGTTGTGTCCTGATTCATTCAGTATGTACTTACCAGTGGGTCATCATTAATGAGGTGAATGCCCTCACTATATAGTCACCTCTTAATAGATTCAGCAGCTGAGGACAGAGTCTTCAGCAAAAGAGCTGCTTGGGGAAAATGCTGTGTGTTTGTGTCACATGGCAACTCTGTGACTAACTTATTTTTTTAAACTTACTTTATTTTTATGTGTATGGGTGTTAGGCCTGCATGTATTTCTGTGTACCATGTGCATGCAGTGCCTACAGAAGCCAGAAGAGGGCAATAGATCCCCTGAACTGGGGTTTTGGATGGTTGTGAGCCCTATATGCGGATGCTGGGAATCAAACTCCGGTCCCCTGGTAGAGCAACTTGTGCTCCTAACCACTGAACCATCTCTCTAACCCCGTGACTAACTTTAAAATATATGCCTAATATCTTCTAAAGATAGCTCTCGTAAGCTGTGTGCATAACTAACACTGCAAGAGGCTCTGGTTTTACATCTTTCCAGCCCCGATACTGTTTTTTCTTTCTTTTGAATGAGATCAGATTTAAAATCAAAGCTGGCCTCCAATTTGAGACTTTAGCCTCTTGAGTCCTGGGATTACAGGTGTGCACCAATATGCTTGGCTTATTTGCCCTTTTTATGCCTAGTAATTTACTTGATGACTTTGTATACACCTCTGAATAGTCCCCATTCCCTTTGCCTTAACCCCCCCCCCCCGTGTGTGTGTGTGTGTGTGTGTGTGTGTATGTGTGTGTGTGTGTGTGTGTGTAATAGCCAGCTTAGTAGGTGTGAAGTAGTAAGTCATTGTGGTTTTGTATTATATATATGCATTATAATTCATTCATATTTTACTGACTGATGGTATTGAACCTTTTTTAGGTACTTAAGAGCCATTTGTACTTCTTTGGAGTAATGTCTATTCAAATCAAATCCAAAGTTTACAGAATTTTTTATTTTATGTGTATGAGTGTTTTGCCTATGTGTATGTCTGCACCACATATGTAACTGGTATCTGTGAACCAGAAGAGGGCATCGGATCCTTTGGAACTGGAATTACAGATAGCTGTGAGCTGCCATGTGGTTGCTGGGAATTGAGCCCGGGTCCTCTGGAAGAGTAGCAAGTGCTCTTAACCATTGATTGAATCGTCTCTCTAGTCCCTGGCTCATCTTTGTAAATTAGTTTACAAAGTAGTGGGTTTCCTTATGATTTTTTTCATACATAGTTTTTGTTGGCCCTTTCCCTCACCCTCTCTGTTTTGTCCCCCATTCTCGTCCCCCTTTTACTTTTAAATCACATGTCATCTAGTAACCCCTTTCTCTGCCTTTTTTTTTTTTTTTTTTTTTTGAGACAGGGTTTCTTTGTGTAACAGCCTTGAATGTCCTGGAACTCTGTAGATCAGGGTGGCCTTGAACTCAGAGATCTGCCTGCCTCTGCCTCTGCCTCTCAAATGCTAGGATTAAACCCTGCACCACCAACTCCTGGTTTAATCCCATTTCTCTTAAGGCCTCCCTCTTCTCTTTTCCTTTTGGCCTCTACATTCATCCACATAAATAAGGCATATATAAAAAATTAGAAGCTGGGATTTGCATATAAAAGAAAACGTGGTGTTTGTTTTTCTGAGCCTGAGTCACCTTGCTTAATATACTATTTTTCATTCCTATCCACTTCCTTGGGAATTGCATTTTTCCTTATGGCTGAATAAAATTGTTTTGTTTACATGTACCACATTTTTTATTCATTCATCATCTATGGTGATTTCTTATTGCGAATAGAGAAGCAATGAACATGCATGAGTACACATCTCTGTGGTAGCATATAGTCTTTTGGTATGCCTATGAGTGGTATAGCTGGATCATATGTCTTTTATTTTTAATTTTTAAGCCACTGATTTCCATAGTGGCTATTCCATATTCCCAATAAGTAAATATTTTAGAATTTAATTAAAAAATACTAAAACATGAAATGCCTGGTGGATAGTGAGAAGTGGTTAGCTATGACATTGGCATTTTCCTTTGGTGGGATAATTTTATCTTCATGTTGCTGCATGTGCCTGTGATTTGTGATTTCACCCTGTCAGAGCAGATACTGCCCAGTGAAGTACTCTTATCAAAGCAAGGCACTTAATTGCATTTTTCTGATAGAACCTACAGGTGTTGGGTGGCTCACGTAAATGTTACTTTAATTTTTTTTTCCTTTTTGATGTTTTGAGACAGGGTCTCATTCTATAGCCCATGTTGGCCTCTTAACTCCTTATGTAGTTCAGACTGATCTTGAACATTATAGCTATCCTCTTGCCTCAGCTTCTCAAGTGCTGGGATTATAGGATACCGGGTCTAACGGTGTACTTTTAATTTATTCTTTGCATTCTCCCTCTCTTCATCTTAATTTTTTTCTATTTTTCCTTTCCATTTTAGGTGGCAGTTGTTCTGATGGACACTCAGGGGGCATTTGACAGCCAGTCGACTGTGAAAGATTGTGCCACCATCTTTGCTCTGAGCACCATGACTAGTTCTGTTCAGGTAAGATCCCTCCTCTTTTCCCTTCCTTTTCCCATCTTCCCCTTTCCCTGCCTCCCTCCCTTCTTCTGGGGATTGAACTTAGGATCTTGACAATGCTGGGCAACTCTTCTGCACTGAGCTCTCTAGTCTGTTGGTTATTTTCTGTTAACACAATTCTTGTGGTTGTGTATGAGTGTTTTTTTAGACTGTGTTCTAGTTTGCTCTTCTGTGGCTGTGATAAATCACCCTGATTAAAACCAAACTTGGGGAAGAAAAGGTTTATTTGGCTTACACTTCTAGGTCACGATCTATCATTGAGGGAAGTAAGGACAGGAACTCAAGGCAGGAATCTGGAGATCTGGAGACAGGAACCATAAGAGGAATGCTGCTTGCTGGCTTTTTCCTGCTCATGTCACCAATCAAGAAAATCTCTTCCTGGCTCAGCAGTTAAGAGCACTGGCTCCTCCTCTAGAGGACCTGGGTTCAATTCCCAGCACCTACTTGGCAGCTCACAACTGTCTGTAACTCCATTTCCAGGGGATCCATAGCACTAGGCATGCGTGTGGTGCACATACCTGTGCATGCAGGCAAAATAAATAAAAACAAAAAGGTACATCTCAAAAAGAAAGAAAATCTCTTCTAATCATGGCCATAGGACAGTCTGATTGAGGAAATTATTCAGTTGAAGTTTCTGATTTCCCAAGTGACTTTAGGGTTGTGTCAAGTTGTTAAAAAAAATTTAACCAGCACAAGCTACATATATAATAAACTCTTAAGCTCAAAATTAGTTTTTTTTTCTACTTATATAATTATATACAAAGTATTCCAAGAAAAAAAATCTCAAACCTCTTAAACTGTTTTAAACTATAAAGAAGGAATTTTTGGATTCTAGCCTTATAGTCTTATTTTTCTCAAAAGACTGATACTGCTGTTTATAAAAATAGCCCTCATATGCTTAAATGCAAATCTTCAATTGTACAAAGCTCCATTCAGTGTTCTAAGCTTATTTGGGACTTGTTTGAAGTAAGCCAAAGTGCTGTCAATCTGGATTTTGTTTTCTAGATTTACAATTTGTCCCAGAACATCCAGGAAGATGATCTTCAGCAGCTACAGGTAATAAGAAAGGGTAATGGGAATAGTGGCAGAAAGATAAAGTATCTAGTGTTCCCTATCCTATGTGGAATCTAGATGTGAAAGCAGAAGGGGGTACTGTCTGAGGACAGAAGGAGACCAAAGAGGAGGAGGGATGTGAGAAAATGGCAGTGGGTGGGTGGTGCTGGAAGAAGAGGCTCAGTTCCTGCTGTGCAAGCAAGAGGACCCGAGGACCTGAGCACTCACATAAAATGAACAGCCAGCAGTGGTGACACACGCCTTTATCACAGCACTCAGAAGGTAGAGGCAGGTGGCTCTCTACACTTGAGGCCAGGCTGGTCTGCAAAGTGAGTTCCAGCAGGGTGGTTTGCTAACCCCAGTGTTGGAGAGGTGGAAATAGGACAGTATCTAGAGCTCACTGGCCAGTAAGTCTAGGCAACTGGTTAGCTCCAGGTTCAGTGAGAGACCTTGTCTCATAAACTAAGGTTGAAAGTTATAGAAGAAACCTGACATTTTCCTCTGGTCTCACATACACAGGCCACAACATACATACACACCTCACATCCACATGTACATGAGCATGTACATATGCATACATATACCACACACACGTTACATGCACATAGCATAAACATACACATAAAAAACAAAAATAAAAGCAAACAGCTGTAGGTATATATTCCTCATAATCTTATGTGGGTTTTTTTTTGAATATTTGTTTTTTGAGACAGGGTCTCTCTTTGTATCCATGGCTGGCCTGGAACTCAGAGATCCACTTGCCTAAGCCTCCAAAGTGCTGTGATTAAAGCCATGTGCCACTACAGCTGGCCTCATAAACATTTTAATATCATAATACATCATTTTAAAGAATTCAAGAATAAGCTGGGCAGTGGTGACACACGCCTTTAATTCCAGCACTTGGGAGGCAGAGGTAGGTGGATCTCTGAGTTTGAGGCCAGCCTGGTCTACAGAGTTAGTTCCAGGACAGTCAGGACTGCTTCACAGAGAAACCCTGTGTCAAACAAACAAACAAATGGATCTGGTGAGATCTGGTGCAATGACTCAGTAGACGAGTTAGGTCCCTAGAACCCCCATGGTAAGAGAAAATCAACTTCTTAAAGTTGTCCTCTAACTTCTACATGTGCACACTGTTGTGTGTGTGCACAAATAAATAAATACAAAAAACCTTAAACAAGCCAGGTGGTGGTAGTGGTGGTGGTGGTGGTGGTGGTGGTGGTGGTGGTGGTGGTGGTGGTGGTGGT